ATTGTACTCCCTATGCTCATTTTTTTATTTATATTTTTTTAAATGAGTACTTTTTTTTAATATTTTAAAGAATGTAAATATTTTTTATTTTAATTTTTATTATTCATCTTATCATAAAAATTTTTATCTTATTATGGTTTTTTTAAAGATAATATAAATATAAATTGTTATTAAATTTTTATTTTGAATATAAAATTAAAAAATATATTATTTTGAGATTAAAAAAAAGGTACTATTTTTTTAACATTTGTAAACCTGGGGCATCGATATTAATTAAACAAATGAATACGTAAAGACGGAATACACTTTTAAAAAGAATTTTTTTTTTTTTTTGATACAACACTTTTAAAAAGAGTTAATCAAAATGTTTCGGTTCTTTTTCGGTGGGTTAAATATTTAATTTGATCCCTTAACTTTTATTTTTAAACTAAATTTATCCTCAAATTTAAAAAATACTAAAATTATTCTCAAATTTTATTTTTTAATAACAATTTCATCCTTATATTAGCAGAAGTGCCAAGTGACATGTTAAGTTGTCACATAATCAATCGTCTTCTAAAATCTTAATGATGAGTAAAATAATACAATCATATTTTGCCATTATGATATTTTTTCATTTTCGCATCAAAAATTAAATTATATTAAAATTTTCCACTCATTTTTCCTTCACTCTTCCATGAACCAAAAAACGAAAATTCATTCCATCTAAATTAATTCCAAACCTCAATACTTCGAACCATCAAACCTTCTGCAAACCATCAAATTCAAGTTTCAAAAACACTAGTTTGGAAAGCACTCACTGCTTTGAACTATCAAACCTAGAACAAAACCTTCAAATTTAAGCTCCAAAAAGCACAACTAATATGGAGAATAAAAACCAATGAAGTTAAAAAATATATATGTATATATACACACATATATATATGTATGTATGTGAGAACAAGAACCCAAAATGGGAAAGGAAACCAAATATTACAATTCTAAAATGGGATTTCATTTTGTTAAATCCAATTTGTGTTAAGAAGGTACGTGATCAAAATCGGATTGTGAAGATGTTGTGTTTGTTGTTGTCGGGGTTTGAAGAAGATAATGAGGGAATCAACTCCTATAGGAAAGGTGGCTAACACATTGTGAGAATTGGTGATTCGTTCAACACTGGTCAGTATATTGCTCAGTGGAAGTTCAAATGGGGTTAGTTCTTTACCATTTGGCTTGTCTACGATACTCAAACCTTCATAAGTCCATTTCAAATGTAATTCTACATTCAAGCATATTACATTTCTTAATGAATTTACTAGAAAAAAAAAATCATCATAAAAAAAGAAATGAGAACCCAAATCTAGGTTCTAGGTTCTTGTGAGAATAAGAAAAATAGATTTGGGTTCTTACATTACTAGAACTCAATGGTAGAAGAGATCCCTCGAACCAATCCTTGCCATCCTCTCAACCTCACCAACAAAACCCATTACGGATGAAGGGAAAATGAGAAGAAAATAGGAAAGAGATGGGAGAGGAAAGGGATGAGAAATGAAAGAAAGACAGAGGAAGGAGAGGAGATTTGAGGGCAACGATGAGGGAAAATGAGAAAAGAGGAAAATATGAGAGAGATCCATAGGGGAGAAAAGGAGAAACAATTAGATCAACAAAGGTTGGACCCTAGTACGTGAACCTTGCTAGACAACCAAGGTTGCACGTGGTGGAGGAGAGATTAGGTGAGTTAGGAGAGATCAAGTGAGGGAAAGAAGGATAGGAAGAAGAGGGATGGGAAGGGCAATCTTGGGATTTCCTATTAATGTAATTAATTTATAAACTTTTGGCTTTTTCTATTGTTAAGAGTTAGCCATGTTATTATATAATTAACAAATAATTTTTAATAAACATTATATAATGTTGTTAGAGATAATTGGCGGGTGTTAAAGTAATTTCACTTAGTTTAAAAAAGTATCACTTTACTTCAAAAAAATGCCACATAGATTAAAAAAATACCATCTCACTTGCTTAGTTCCACTTAATATTTAATATTAAAAAAATTGTATTACTTAACGGAAAACTTAACCACATTATCACTTTACTAACAGGAGGATGGAATTGGTACTAAAAAATAAAGTTTGAGAACATTTTTAATACTTTTTAAAATTTGAGGATAAATTTGGTTTGAAATAAAAGTTGAGAAACCAAATTAGGAGGTATTTAACCTTTCTGGTATGGGTTAGACGACACAAACATTTGTTAAGCCGCATAAAAATATGGTTAAACCCCCATTTTGGTCCCTTAACTATTGTATAGACCCCTAATTTGGTCCCTTAACTCAAAAAATTTTTGATTTGGTCCCTATTGTTTATCATTTTAACCTTGACTTGGTCCTTCCATTAAATTTTTGCTAAGGTGGCTTGGTAAGTGACAAAATGAAAATGACATGTCCAAATATTTGACACATAAGATTGATAACATGGATAAATGAATGATGTGGCTAAGGTTTTAGCTACATAATCAACCAAATATAATTATTCAATCCATCAAATTTATAGTTTTGCCCTCATCTTCTTCCTTAGCATCTTCCTTCTCAAATCTTCTTCATTCATTTTAAATCAAACAATCAATTCAATGAGATTAATTAATTCATTATCATCATCAAACAAAATTGCCTCATCTAAGGCCTGCTAGGTTTGAAAGAACCCAACGGAGCTGCTAGAGGTTCAAAACCCAACAATTGTTGGGTTCAAATCTGCTGGCTTCGATGGATCCGTTGGGTTCCATCAAACCTAACAGATATGCTGGGTATGGAACCTAGCAAATCTGCTGGGTTTGAGAATGACTCAACATTTGATTGCCAAGTAAGATCGAGTTCGAAGTAGGAGGTTGGTGAAGTCGAGAGACAGGAGCTCCCAAACTATGGTTGAACTGACAAGGCCACGATAGTTGGCAATAAATACCTTAGTTGATTTGTTTTGGACATTTTCCTTTCCAATTTCTCTCTTTTGCTAGGTTAGAAAGAAACCCAGCAAGAAGAACAAAGGAATCCACCTTAAGATCAATAAGAAAATACCCGAATTCTAATAAACACACAGAATCACATATCCCCAACAAACTCGTACCAAAACCAACAAATCCCTCGCAGATTTGTACCAACACCTAGAAATTACCACCAAAACAACAAGAATCAACGAAACCATGAACATTTACCACCCACTACAGAAAAAGAATAGTACTTCTTGCTTAGACAAGGGCTTGCACTGCATGAACTAATCAATCTACTTGTCTAGGTTCCCATGAGAATTCAATGACACCAAATCCAAACTCATTTTTTTGTCTCCCTTTCTCAACCCTTTCCTTTGGTTCTTGCTAGATCAAAACCCCACATTCCGTTGCTACAAAAACCCTATATTTCGAAGAAAACTTGTATAATGAGAGAAATGAAACCCTAAATTTCCAAGATTTCTAGAGAAAGGGAAATGGTGGTGAAGAGCCCAATGCCTTTCTCTTCCAATTCCAATCAATCGCTCAGTCCTTTTTAACCCAAAAAAAAAAAAAAGGAATTGCTAGGTTCTTTTGAACCTAGCAGATCTAGAAGAGAAAAGGGTGAGGAAAATTACAGGGTGGAAGATGAATTGATTTGATGAGGAAACTCAAAGGTGGTTTCAGGTGTTAGGGTTTATAGTAGCAAAAGGAAGGAAGATGAAAGAGAAATAAAATAGGAAAGAGGAAAAAAAAGAGAGGAAGAAAAAAAAAAGAATTTCTTAATGTTTTTTTTTTTTTTTTTGCCAACGTCATTCATTTATCCTTGTTGTCAATCTTATGTGTCAAATATTTAGACATGTCATTTTCATTTCATCAATTAACAGGCCAACTCAATAAAAATTTAACGAAAAGACCAAGTCAAGATTAAAATGATAAATAATATAGACCAAATCAGAGATTTTTTTAGTTGAGAAATCAAATTAGGGGTTTATACAATAGTGGAGGAATCAAAATGAGAGTTTAATCTAAAAATATTATAGGTGTGTGTAGTTACACAGTTAAAAATAATTAATAATTATAATTATTTAATTAATATTAATTATTTAAAATTTTAAAATTGATTTATATGATAATATTTTTAAATATTTTAACTAAGCATAAATTAATAAAATCAATTAAATTATATAAATTTATTTATATATATTTAAATTTAAATTTTTAAATTTATAATTAAAAATACTAATAATTAACTTTACCAACATGTCAGTTCACAGCAGTAGCTGGTGGTAAATAAATTTATATTTGTGCAGCCTAAACAAATATTTATATTTACCAAATATATATCGCGAGTATGACAGGTGTTCTTCTCGCGTCATGCGATTTAAGTAGACATTTCCCTTCCCAATTAAAAGATCACATACCAGAAAGCAATGTCGACTATAAATAAAACCGCCGTGTGTCTCCAGCTTCTGCCATTCTTCTCTTCCACATAAAAAAGAAAAGGATGCAAGAGTACCCAGTCATCGTCGTTGGAGCAGGTCCCTCCGGCCTTGCCACCGCCGCCTGCCTAAACCAACACTCAATACCTTACATACTTCTCGAAAGAGAAGACCGTTTTGCCTCTCTCTGGACCAAATACTCCTACGACCGTCTCCACCTCCACTTACCTAAACAATTCTGCACTCTCCCCCACATGCCGTTTCCGGCCTCTTTTCCGACGTATGTTTCGAAATACCGATTCATAGAGTACCTTGACAGTTACGTCTCTCACTTCAAAATCAGTCCTCTGTACCGGAGATGCGTTGAGGAGGCCAGCTTCGATGAGGGGAGCAAAAAATGGGTAGTGATGGCCAGGAACTTAAGCTCCGGCGAGGTGGAGAAATATTCCGGGAGGTTTCTGGTGGTGGCAACTGGAGAAACAAGCAACCCTTACACGCCGGAGATCGAAGGACTTCATACTTTCACCGGAAATGTCCTCCATTCGACTCTATATAAGAACGGAAAGGGGTATAGTGACAAGAACGTTCTGGTTGTTGGGGCTGGCAATTCCGGCATGGAGATTGCACTTGATTTAGCGAATCACGGTGCCAAAACTTCCATTGTTGTCCGCAGTCCGGTAAGATCTAATCGATCTGACACGCATATATACCATTCACACTTATATTATTTTTCCGGTATTGAGATAATTTATTTATTTATTTATTCATGTGAGGGTTGATCAATTTTGGAATATTTGATCTGCAGGGTCATGTTCTTTCAAGAGAAATGATTTACATGGGATTGATCATGTTGAAGTATTTTCCAGCTAGCATGGTGGACTCATTGATGGTATTGCTTAGCAAATTTGGGTACGGAGACCTGACCAAGTTTGGTATTAGCAGGCCTAAAGAAGGCCCATTTTTCATGAAAGTTGCGTATGGCAAGTACCCAATAATTGATGTGGGTACCCTAAGCAAGGTCAAGTCCGGGGAGATTCAGGTAATAAGAAAGAAAAGGAACGTATATAGATATAGTTGCATTTCCCCCTTTTTCTCCCGTTTCTTCCCTACTGTAATTCTGTAGATGGAGAAATTCGAATTTAAGACAACCAACTTAAGTATTAGTCATCATGAGAAAAAGTAAAAGTCTAAAAATCTCACAAGACATACTCTCAAAAAGTCAGACAACTTTTGTGTTTTCTTTCTTTGCCTTTCCGCAACAACTCTAGTGAGGTTGCTTTGTTGTTAAGGCTGAAGTGTTGTACCATACGTCAAGGTTCTAAACTGGGTTAACAGCTTGCATAACTTGGGTTTTTAATTTGTGAGATATATTTTAGATTTCCATTGTCTTCATCGAGTTTTTTTGGTAAGCAGTAACTCCTCTTTGGAAAACTCATTCATTAGTCAAACACTTGGTTATTGTTTGTCGGTGACCAATAGGCTTCACTTTCTTTCTATTCACACTTTGCAATGTGCACAAAAAATTAAGATTCAAACCTAAAATTTTTTAAGGTTTCAATGCTCAATAGATTTTAGATAAAAGTAGCAGAAGAATACATGGACACTAGTTTCTCTTTCTTTTTCTTTTTCTTTTTCTTTTTTTCTTTCCATTTTGGCTGGGTGATGGATTTTTCGGCTATCTACTCATTTCATTGTATGTTTAATTGCTTTCAATATGAGTAGGTGTTGCCAGCGATATCAAGCGTGAGAAGCAATAATGTTACATTTGTGAATGGGAAGACACATCCCTTTGACACAATTGTTTTCTGCACTGGCTTCAAGAGGTCTACAAATAAATGGCTTAAGGTAACATGCATTAATTATCTCTCTGCGTTTTAAAAGAAAGAAAAATCTAATCTCTTGGTATCAGCCATGACCATTTTATTACTGAACTGAGCAGGGGGATGACTATCTACTGAACGATGATGGGATTCCCAAGCACGATTCTCCTGACCATTGGAAAGGGAAGAATGGGTTATACTGTGTCGGATTGTCAAGGAGAGGGTTGCATGGTGCAACTGGTGATGCCCTGAACATAGCTGATGACATTAAGTCGCTTCTGTGATGAAAGTCTGGAAAAATAAGAGACTGCCTTGATTGCTAGCTTCTACTCTGTATTTGGAATATGTTATTGTTGGATTTGTTACATTTTGGAAGGTTGAGGTCCAGAGAGAAGGAAAATACGTACACTTTATATTCTTGTGTCTAGGCTTTTGTCAACAAATGTGTGAGATGCATTGATGCAAGACAAGTAGAAAATAAAATAAGAGAATACTACACCGTCTTTCCCTTTGATTTGAGTGTAGAATCATCCTTCCATAATTGAATAAATTGATACAAGACCTTTTCAGAAAATTGTGTTTGGCCTCGCTTCAACTTTTGAAGCCGAAGAGGTTTTATTTTTATCATTTATGGTTATCAGAACACATACAATCAAGGTTAACCAAGGCCTACTGCACATGATCATCCCTCATTGAATAGATTTTGGTATGTTCCCTAACTGAACGGAAAGAGATGCATCATGGCATAGGAAAGCATGGGGAAGATCAATAATTATTCACAAAATCATTCATCCCCTAATTGAATCATAGATTTCGAAAAACAGTTAAATTAAATTGCAAAACCTGGCTGTGGTTGACTATGTAAAAGGCTGAAAGTGGTGGGGTTGTGGCTCATGGAAGCTATGATGTCTTAGAATCAGCGGCCTGAAAGTTGTAAACTATGTGTCATGGCTAAGAAAATTAGACTGAATTCTCAACATTCACCAGTCATGCCCAAAGCAATCCATCAAAGCCAACTTCGAAGTTTGAAATTGGAGTATCACCAAAATCTTGCTCCATTGCCTGGTTGTCCCCCAGGTCAACATATGGCTTCAAAAGATCAGGGGATCTTTCAGACTGAATCCCATAATCTTTAAGTACACAGGATGAGGCAGCACTAGCTGCTTCTCTCTCCAAAACAGCAACATATTTCTCTTCAAACTCAAAAACCAGATATTGGTCCTTACAGGCTGACAAGGAACAGAATGCATGAGAAATTAATTGGTTAAGAAAAACAGATTGAAAATAGATAGAAAGGGATGCTACCACTTACAATCCACAAGGTGTGCTAGGTGGTGAATGTTTTTTATTTGAGTTCCATTGAACTTCAAAACCTGAAAATTTTCAACTTCAGCACAGGAAAATAAATCAGCAGATGTAAATTATAAGGGGTGATAGAAAGCCCACCTGCTGATTGCCCATATCCTCATATCCAATGTTCACTTCATTTGCCAATACCTATGAATTTAAAGATTAAGATAAAGAGAAAAAGAAAAGAAAGAACAGCAACACGAAGCAAGTTAGACCAAATGCACCTAGCACTGATTCTAAATCTCACGAAAGATATCACTCCATGCAATACCCAATGAGGATATAATCAGGAAATTAAACCACTATCATTATTATTTATTTTATCAGCCCAAACCACTATGATTATTTCACAAGTGCAAGATAATAGCACTGAGGATTCCTAAGGATGTTACTTCTTCAAAAGCTCATTCTTGAGCTAGAGTAGAACAGCTACTTTGATATTATGTATGTTTAATTCTTGCTTGTATCAAATGCAGTGTACCTGTGATAATATCACAATTTGCTCCCCTTTGAATCTTGCCAAAGAGTACCGTGCCTTGGCTAGTAACTTCAACTGAGCAGAGGAACAAAGAAACAATCAATCCACAAGTCATGCAACCCAGCCAAGAAAACATCAGTTTAGAAGCAAAATATTGTAATTAAAGAATCCTTCTACTATTCCCACTTACCCCTATGGAGTCCTCACATTCCTCCCTAGCAAATTAGAAAATCAATAATCAACTACTATAATGTGACGATCAATAGCATTGTTACAATCCACATATGAAGAAAATTGAGTAAACTTCTTGGGTATGAGCAACAAACATGACATACTCTATGAGTGGTTCTGAGAGTGGAGTAAACACCAAACCCGCAATGATCAGATAAGAAGGCTGATCATCAATATGATAGGGCACCTAGATGACAAAAGAATCATAATTATTTGGGTCTAAACATAATTTCAAAAATATTATCTAGTTTAGGGCAAGCACTCAAACAGCATACCAAATGTACTCGGGGATTTAAAACTACTTGAACTTGCATGAATTTGCCTGCTCTAATAATACCAAGCTCAGCTACGTCACCTGGAAATCTGGAAAAGAGCATATTAGATACAAGACTAAGTAATTTATCAGCAGAATTACAAAAATGAAATAAACAAAGTAAAAAAATATAAAAGTACTGCAAGTCTGAAGAGACTGAAGGAAAATAATAATAATAATAATAATAATAATAATAATAGTTCTAATCTTATATGCTCTCTAAATCAAAGAAACACACACATACATACCAAAGATACACGCAGTTGGATAAAGAAAAAGATCGAAAATAAGTTCCAAAAGATTGATATGCTTTGCCATTTCTCACAAACAGCGTTGTATTTTATCCTAACTGCATTGGTCATGGTAAAGCCATTCTAATTGAAGGTATAATTCAATACTAGCACAAACCAAATAGAGTGCATCCTCCAGACAGAGATGCAGTTAAGGTTTTATTATTGTTATTATTTTAAATCAATTTCAATTAAGTAGCATCACAACTCTTCTGTAACCCCAAAAAACATTTCAACTTGCAGATATCTGCTTAAATAGACCAAACACATAGTAGATGCAAGATACAAGAATTATCCAAAAATCATTAACCTTGAGTTGCAGTTATGAGTTATGTAAATACTATATTTGTAATCATTGGAAATAAGATGTTCAGAAGATCTTTATAGCACAGTATGAACAGGAAAACCATATGAAAATGCCATGCAACTTTTAAAGTAATTCTTTTACCATAAAAGGCCCTTTACTTACTTTTGACTGATGAGGTAGCGGAATGCAATGCGCTCATTTGATCGGAAAGGCACTGTTCCTTCACACCCTACACGAACATTATCAAAGCTCACAATCACATCCCCCTGAAAAAGAAGGGTAATATTACAATTTGCTCTTAAAATTTTCAATGTTGGATTCTAAAAGAAGCCAAGATGCATGCAAGTATGGAGAATGTAAGAATTGATATTGTTAGAGAGGAAGATGGAAAAGTATTGAAACTGCTATCCAAGAACCAGTATGGGTGTTTGTTCCCATTACCAGTCAAACAATGTAAGACACAACAATTATTGCCGGCATACCTCCTTCAAAACAATATTTGCATCAGAAGTAGGTTCAACTCTTCGGACAAGCACACCCTGCATAAGTAGATTTTATGAGGGAAAAGAACTAAGAAAATTTAAATACTTGGAGATGTGAAACTATCATGTTAAATAATTGCTCAAAAAAAAGTAGTTAATTTTTTAATAATAAAATTAGGCTTGATGATAAAATTTTGGATAAACAAAGTCTTTTACACAGTAAATATGCAATATGCAGACAATATCCACCAAGAATGTTGCAACTTCTTCACCAAAATTGTAATCGTGGAGTCATTCAGTGTCAAAATATTTTTCCAGATTCTCAGTTCACAACTTGAAGGACTTTTTGCATGTAGGCAAAACAATATGGAAATAAGACAATTATAATACAAAATGTATTTCAACCTCAAATTAACATTGCATTACTATATCAAAGCATTGAACTCTTGTCTCTTGCTGCATTTACTTCACTTCTACAAACTTTTATCCTTCATTCCTTCACATGATCTAACACATCATCATTACCTAAGTGCCACCAAAGGTAGTGTTCCTCCATCCTCCAGAATGTAAGAATTTTCATATGTTCAGCAACTCTACAACCACAATCCAAAAAAACACCCACCCTCCAACCAAGGAAAAAAAAAAAAAGGAAGGAACATCTCCACAGCAAAATGGACTGAAAGTCACCAAGAAGAATACAAGCAAAAGATACATATATAACTATGAATGCACATGCATGTTTGCGATTAGTGTAATGGCCACTGAGCCCAATCTAAAGACAAAAAGGCAAAGAGGAAGAAAATTTTGTATCAAAGTGCAAAGCATACCTCATTTGACTGTACTTTCAAGCAAGCACGAAGTGCTGGATTCTCTAACTTCTGGAGCAATACGCCAAGGCTAGGAAAACCTAAAAAGTAGACAAGTGGAAAATGCTTTTGCTTTGAGAAAATTCCTCATCTGTCACAATCAAGCTCAAACGGTATGTTAAAATCACAATAACAAAGTGGATGCTAATGATTTGAAAAGAAAATCATCATGCTAATTAATTGAGGAAGCAGGGACTAATAGATGCTGCAAAAGATTAAATAATCATCCATGTTCCTAGTTGCATAAAACATTGCTTCCACTTACAATCACAGTACAGATCAATGCAGTTGCCATGCAGCCTTTTTATTTTTGGAAGTTGCCATGCAACTTGGAAGAAACTACAGTGAAGATTGACCAAGAGCACAGAATTTTCTTTATAGGGAATGGCTTTGATTTTGAAGAAAGCATGGACCTAAATTCCTAAAATAAGAGTATTTTGTATCATCTACAACCGAATACCATAGGCTGGTTTTCCTTGAAATATAAGCATGACAAAAATTCCACTGGAACTTATAAAATTATTAAGTTTTACCCTAATAAAATTGACAAGAATAAGCATGAAGTTTCGACTATAGATTTCAAGAAAATGTGTTCACATCATAATCTAAGATGAAGACAAACACCATTGACCCAATAAAATGAACAGTAAATATTACACTAGATATTGATGGGCATTGTCATTATGTTGTAAAATGTTTGAAATGTATAAACAGAATTTAAATGCCCACTTAAGACATTACACATGCAAAGTAACAAGAAGAAGATCTATATGTTGAGGCAAGAAAGACTCTAACCAGTATACTTCCCATTCCGCTCATAGTCATCCAGAAAATGAGATACAACTGTAGTTGGGATCACATATCCAATATTTTCTGCCTCTTCAGACCTGTAAACCTAATAGAAGTCCCCTGTTAAATCGTCATAGCCCTAAGAAAGTGGAGCTTTTCATATGATAAGGACTAAATCTTGTAAAGGTCATAAATTTTCTGTTGATAAAATCAGTGAGATTTGGCCTGTGTGCGTGTGTGAAAAATATCCCATAATGTGTCAAGAAAATTTTACACCAAGCAAAGATTAATACAAAAAAATTACCTGAAATGCCACCCCAATGCACTCTCCTTGCTCATTGAATGCAGGACCACCGCTATTACCTAAAATCTACCAAGTATAAGCAATGGCTATCACAATTATACAGAAAATACCTATAGAAAAGAAAATGTTCTATAACCTAGTTTAGCTAATACAATCAATTTCATGAGGAGACATGTACAGGAAAAATTTAATCAAAAAAGGGTTAGATATATAAAATTCAAGTATCTACTGACCAGGGTTTATAGCTGCATCAATTTGAATGCCCAACAAGTCAGATGAACCATGAGCATATGATGTAACCTGCAGAAAGAATGTTAGTGAGAAACTTTATAGTCAGAACTTTTTTCTTTTAGCAGGCAGGCTAAAGAGAAGATCCTTTTTTTATGCATGGGCTGATGTATTTCCCAACAAGACAATGCAAAAACATAGATATCAAAGAGATAAAATGTCTGGACAGAATTTGGTAAATCATGTGATTTTACATTGGAGCAAATCAAACCTCTATGCGTGATACAACTCCCTTTGTCACTGAAATGGTATCTCCTCCAAGGGGGTATCCTACAACAGTTACTGCATCCTGCCCCCACCAAGAATGTGGAATAGAAAGAATTCATGAGTTTCAACCAGAAGTAGATTGCATCAATAGAGATGATTATACTTGTTGACTCAATAACCAATTCCTTTAAACAATGTTAAAGTGGTAATTTAGAAAAAAAAAAAGGCAACAACAACACTATGATCTTAAGGAGCTGTGAAGTTCAAGGAACAAAAGTGGAACAAATCCTATATTAATTACATGAAATTTTATGCTAGATTTAGATTAAGTGGACAATTATGCAAGTCATTACCATTACACTATATTGCTAGTGTTGGATTGGATGGACAGGAGTAACTTCTTAAATCACTAGAGGATAATAGACAGCTTGTTGTCAGTTTAGATGTTTATTATGAAACATGGAGTACATACTGTGATAAACGTTTTATTTATTCTAGCCAATGTCGTTTTGGTCTTGACAGCAAATTACAAATTAGCCTATTGACAAAACCAAAACTTAATACAAGAATTAAAAGAGCTTCTTCTATTATGACCAATTCCTTAGGTGAACCTTTCTACGTATTAAACTTCTTCCAAGGCAATTTATCAAATGCTTGTTTTAAGATCCATAATGATTCATGAATCATCTCCAAATGCAGATAGATAATAAGTCCATACTCATAATAAAGCAGAGAGAGTACTACTTAAAGAAATAGAGGGGTTTAAAACCTGAAGATGGGGCAAGCGTCCAAACTGTAGTGGTTCAGTCCCTTTCCAAAATTCCTCACTCTCAACTGAAAGCAAAGCTATATCACAATCAACACCTCTGGCTAAAACCTGTCCATCAAGAAAGTTAGACACAAGATCTTAACTAAACATGTGCTAAGGCTAAAGAGGCAGGGCTAAAACCCAGTAAAATATCAACAATATTTGGATTAACATGTACTAGTTAATGTGCAAGAATCCAGCTCTATAATTAATATCTTGTAGAAACTAGAATCTAAAAAAAAAAAATATTCAACTAGGAGGTGTTTAAAGGGAGAAGTTCTACGTCAAAAAAAAAAAAAAAAAAAAAAAAAGAACCATTTGCTGACATCTTATACTTTTGATTCATTCAAATATTATAGTTTAGCAATTACATCCAAAAGAACCCATATGGAAAGTGTTGTTTATATTACATGTAGCATAGGCTAAAGGGTTTCTGAATAAGAAATGCCAAAAACAAAACTGATGATATTGCATGCATACTCAAGGGCACTAGAGAAACAAAGACAACAGTTAAAAAAGAGCTTAACCAAAATTAAAATGTATGGCATCACAATTTGGTTTTAATGTCCAAATATGCTAAAGTATGGCAGACAGATTGAAAGTGTTTGTGCTAAATTTATGCATGACAAAATGGCTGTGATGACTGGACCTTGTTATATTATTATTTGTGCCCAAATTCCAAAATTTCTCCACTTGCACCAGTTCATCTACTTTGTTTGACCACAAACACACATCCAGCCAACTGCTATCTAAATTCCCAGTTATGCACCAGTATAAAATGCAGACTGTACTCAATAAAAGAAGATTGGGATGGAAAGGAGGGGTAGTGTCTTACATTCAGATTTCACCAATGAAGGAAAAATAGAAGAGAAGAACCAGTCTCAATCTTTAAACAACCAAATAACAAAAACTATTGCTATGTGGGATGGCATGCTATTTACTTGGTGATTTAGTTGTCCTCATTAGTCAAGCAAGTGATATTACAGCAACTTGTAATAACTCCATTATGCTTTGGGTTTATGGCTTTAATGCAATCAAATGCTATGATGAGAAAAAATATATATATATATACTGTACCACTTCAATAGGTAGTTAGCCTTACCTACAGAAATTAAGTAGGTTGTCCTTGAGGGTTTGAGACAAAGATAACTATTTAAGACATTAAAAATTCTGGGGTGCATCTTGAAGAAAGTATGAGATATGTCTTCATGTTAGGAACAATACCTTAGCCACATATTTACTATCATCTCCCCTTCTCTTCACTTTAACCTGTGATCATAATAATTATAAAAGCAAATAGAGTAACATGTCAACCACACAAAATGAGCACTGAAAGCACAACTCAAAAAAAAAAAAAAAAAAAAAAAACATTAAGAAATTCTTTTTTTTTTCTTCCTCTCTTTTTTTTCCTCTTTCCTATTTTATTTCTCTTTCATCTTCCTT